CACAATCCAGTGAGCTTCTTAAAAATTACAGGAAAAAATGGTGAAAATTGTCTAAAAATAATAGACACTTCACAAAGCTATCTGTGAGAGTACGAACACCTGTGAGAGTACTTAGTGTTAGTGGTTGGGCTTTTTCATTTCCGATTTGACTTCAGTACAGAATTTCGAAGCTTAAGTAATTCATTTAGCCTGATGTTACACAATAGGCCACTTTCTATGAACTAAATTCAGCTTGACAGTGAGGACTAGAGGACAAAAACAAAAGAAATGAATAAATATGCCCTTCAATAGGCCACTTTCGATATATTAAACTTCAGCTTGATTGTGATCGAGGTCTAGAGGACACAAACAAAAGAAATGAATAAACATGATCATTCAATTTCCTTTTGTTTGTGTCCCCGAGGCCTCGCTGCCAAGCTGAATTTCAACCCTTGGACATACAAGCTAACTCATACCCCCACTGTGATACAAGGGGAGGGGGAGGGGGGTGGATAGAACCCCCACCTCTTGGTTTTCGTTCTGTTAAGGCAGAGCGAAATAAATTTACATTTATTAGATAGCCCTGAGCTTGCTCTACAAGATGATACTAGAGTTTATTTTTGGTCAGACCTACATTAAATTTGATGGTTGCCACGGCAACGTCAAAAATGATAGACACACAACTGATATATCGAAATTTCCACAGAGAATAAAGGAACAGCTACTGAAAGTTTAAGCCCCTTAGAGTAAATCGTTTTTTCAAAACCTTGAAAAAACCTTACGGGGGGGTGGCATCCACCCCCCTCCCCCCTTGTCTTTTCCCTTTGTTTGTGTCCTCCAGGCCTCGCAGCTAAGCTGAATTTTAATATATCGAAAGTGGCCTGTTCCCTTTGTTTGTGTCCTCTAGGCCTCGCTGCCAAGCTGAATTTTAATATGTCGAAAAAAGTCTTGTCCCTGAATTTTAAAATATCGAAAACAGTCTGTAGAAGTCAACGTTCAGCTTTCGTTTGTCGTATCATTTCTTGATTTTTTGATTCCCAACAAAGTGGCTCTCCGTATTTTCCACCCGAGCCTTTGCTTCCAATTTGTCCAAATCCTTAAGCCCCAAATTTGAGTTTTGACCACTAACTTCTTCCATTACTTCAGTTTTCGTTCTGTGACGATTCAACGACTGAAAAAATTGCAGTTTAAAGGCTGAGTTTCGCAAGTGAGTGGTTTTCCAGCGTCAACTTTACGCTTACTCTAATTGGCTAAAATCTAATTGGTGATAATGACTCGGAGTCCGCCGCCAGTCACTATTACCATATTTCGCATGGGCGCAAATGTAGTGAAGTATCCGCT